GAAAAAATTACATATGAAATTTTACAAATTATGTCTCATTTTACAGAAGAGACATGCTTAACCTTATATTTAAATAATTTAAATTTATTGTTTAACAATCAATGAGGATTTTCAAATGCCTAATGAGGATGCCTAATTGCACTGACAAAAAAAAAATAACAATGTCTTTGACAGAAGCAAGCACTGTCTTTTCGTGTTTCTAGAGCTCTCAAATACCTTTATTTAACACGATCTGTTACTTGTTTAAAAACCTATTTAAAAACCTATTTAAAACCTATTTAAAACCTATTTAATACCTATTTAAAACCTATTTAAAACCTATTTAAAACCTATTTAAAACCTATTAAAAACCTATTAAAAACCTATTTAAAACCTATTTAAAACCTATTTAAAACCTATTTAAAACCTATTTAAAACGTATGTAAACGCCTATTTAAAACCTACTTAAAACCTATTAAAAACCTATTAAAAACCTATTTAAAACCTATTTAAAACCTATTAAAAACCTATTAAAACCTATTTAAAACCTATTTAAAACCTATTTAAAACCTATTTAAAACCTATTTAAAACCTATTTAAAACCTATTTAAAACCTATTTAAAACCTATTTAAAACCTATTTAAAAACCTATTTAAAAACCTATTTAAAAACCTATTTAAAAACCTATTTAAAAACCTATTTAAAAACCTATTTAAAAACCTATTTAAAAACCTATTTAAAAACCTATTTAAAAACCTATTTAAAAACCTATTTAAAAACCTATTTAAAAACCTATTTAAAAACCTATTTAATACCTATTTAAAAACCTATTTAAAACCTATTTAAAACATATTTAAAACATATTTAAAACATATTTAAAACATATTTAAAACATATTTAAAACATATTTAAAACATATTTAAAACATATTTAAAACATATTTAAAACCTTTTTAAAACCTATTTAAAACCTATTTAAAACGTATGTAAACGTCTATTTAAAACCTACTTAAAACCTATTTAAAACCTATTTAAAACCTATTTAAAACCTATTTAAAACCTATTTAAAACCTATTTAAAACCTATTTAAAATCTATTTAAAATCTATTTAAAACCTATTTAAAACGGTGATAGTTGAGATGTCCTAGTTTCAAACCAAGGTTTCTTGGACGGAAGGACATTCACTAGGGGGGTCGTGTTCGGTGGCGGTAGGGCACGGCTACTATGTTGTTTCCACTACATTGTAACTGGAGAGTCCAGTATTTGGTCGCAGTTAGTGTGGGTGGAAACAGTCCCGCTCTGGCGTCCGGACTTTTTTGCTTCGACATCCGGTCGTTTTAGGACGTGATTCTTTTCTCCGCGCTTGTGAAATGGTGGCCACTAGTCTTTTGTATGTTATGAATATCTCTTTTTTCGTTTGTTCTACCAGTGGCTGTCTGGTTTCCTCAGTGGTTCGGGGGGTGTATAGCCATAAACCACTGTCATCCATTGATTCTGGAGTGGTTGTTTTAGGAGTTTCTATGACACAATAAAGTCCATCTCGTGGCGAATACGGAACGTTCTTTGGGAGTTAGTAGGTGGTTAAAATCTCTCCAGACTAACTGGGGCAACCACACAGAGAGGTGACACTCTTGGACTTTGGGAAATTTATTTCTAGGTTCTAAGTTGTGGTTTAGGGTTATTTTTAGTTGGCTTGTATCTTTTTAGTTTTGAGCGCCCTGCTTTGGGTAATTCTTAGCCGAACAGATTGGGTGTGGTAATAGTCTGTTTTTACAAGTCATTGGACTGATGTTTCTTGGACGGGAGGACATTTACATGGGGGTCCCTTTCGGTGGCGGTAGTGTCTAGACCGACTATAGCATTGCCAATCGAGGCACGCTGGTCATAACTACTGTGTTTCTCTTAACTACACTGTAACTGGCGTAACCAGAATTTATTTGCAGTGGTGTAGTTGTGAACACTTCCACGAGGGTGTTCTTTAATCATATGTGGACATAATTTAAAAATATTACAAATCTTGTCTCTTAAGTCAAGTGAATATCCTCCAATTTGTCTTAGCAATTTCATAGTTTTATATGCAAAGAACAAATCTTCCTTTCTTTTCATCAATTATTGTTTTTTGAGAGTACTCATTAGGTTGTAAACATCCAATATTGTTATGCAGTTTCCTTCTAGATATTGATAGATTTGTTAAACGCCCGGCTTTGGATACCAGTTCATTTAATCTCATAGGTTCTTATAACCAGTAACAAACCAGTAAAATAATTACGTAAATAGAGTATTTTAGCGTATTTTATTGGTGTCGTAGATTATAAAGTACACTTACATCAAAAATAGGACGACCATACTGAATTTTAGAGTACGGGTGTAAGTAAGTACACTTACCAATGTAGTGGTTAGTTTTTTGTCTCTCTTATGGTAATTTGCGTATTTTCATTCCAACGCGGGCTTCTTGCGCGTCTCGCGTTGAACGGGTCGAACCTTGTCCCGAGACAGTCTTGTGACCGGCTCAGGGTCCTCCGAGTATCACGTATTGTTAGGGTAAGACTATTTTACCTCCGTGTGGAGTTTCGCTAGGTTTAAGTTAATTTTTAATTGGGTTCATATTGTCATTAGACAACACAATATACAGTTGGGTATATTTTGTGTTGCGGTCCTCTTGGAACAAATTTTTTGTATTTTTCGAACGCTGTGTAAACACAGCCTCTTTGTCAATGGGGGTTTGTCCAAAACTTAAGGAGATAAAAAAGGAGAAGGTACGTTGTTGGGCTGAAAGAATTTTGAATTTACTATGAAATGGTAATCTTTGCCAGCCGTATAGAAATTATACAGCAAACTAATTTGATTAATCTGGTGAATTTGTGTTTGCTAAATTTCTCAAAATTAGAACCTGAAAAGGAATTTATTAAACCAAATCATTCTTACGCGCCGTGGCTAATTTATTTCGTCGTGACTCTCTACACCTTGCTCTTATATTTTAGACCATCACTATATATAACAGGATAACGGCTTTATTTGGCCAGTTATTTACTATCTTAGTATGTTAACAAGTGGCTGCTGTTTTTTTTTGTAGATGCGCTGGATCTAAAGGACATTTCGATTTGTAAACTAAGGTTTGACTTCATATTACGCTTTATATTCACCTTAAATTCAGTAATGCAAACAAATTCAAGCAAGAACGATTCTCGATATTAAAAGTTTACTGCACAACGCCAAATTACCGTCGGCTTCATTCTTCTCTTCTGGAATATATAAAGAAAATAAAACATTTTAATTTGACGACTCTTTCAAACCTTTTTCGGTCCCCATTCTCATTTCCAGGAGTCGTTTTTATTCAAACTTTCTTTTCAATAAGCAGCATCTCCAGTATTACAATCTCCTGCCGCCTTTCAACTCTAAATAGAAAAGTTTTGGAAAACTCCTAACTCCGACTCCAAAGAACTCATTTCCTATCGATGATTACTAATATAAGCATCCTGTACGGGAGGTCTCTTGCTGCTGAGAAACGTCTAGAAATGATCTTTTTTTATACGGGGATTTGCAGTATCCGACTAAATTAGAAAATGGATCGCAAATTGTGTCTGATACAGGAACGCAAATGAAATTGTATTAGACTAAGCACATCTAGACGTGTGGGTGTAATATTTTATCACTTTTATTTAAACGATTCGTAAGGACTGTGTATCCATCTTATTACTCGACGAATATGCATTTATGTCCGGAAGATGCTTTTTTTTCTAGAAATCTAGAGATAGAATTAGTTCAAACAATTACACAAATCTGTAAATTCTGACCTATTAGGTATTGGTGGGAAGAAGTTTGCGACCGACTAAAATATTTATCTTATTCTTGATGACTAAAGCAGAGGTCTTCAACCTTTTTGATATCTAGGGCCAAAAATATTTTGATTTTGGTTCGGCGGGCCGCAACCCAAGTCAAACATACATAAGAAAGGCGCTTTTTTTTGGTGTCAAGCCCATTTACCCACGGAAATTAATATATAACTCCATCTAACAGTTATTTTTTAAAAATAAGTGTTTTGCTGTATTTTAGTCGGCAATTGGGGACAATTTTTTTATTAAAAAAAACAATTATCGTTGTTATTATTCAAATTTATTTATTAAAAAATATTACAAATATAAAAAATAATAATAATAATCAGTGAGACGTTTAGCATATTTTGTTTTTAACTAATTTGTCAATATTTGCCCCAATGGTTGTCGTTGCAATTCTTAAACTGTTCTCAAGATGACCATCGGTGATTCTGGCCCTTGTCTTGGATTTCACGCATTTCATTCTTAAAAACAATTGCTCACATAAATATGTGGTGCCAAAAAGTGATGTCATTTTCAGTGCATGACTTCTGAGTTTAGGAAAATCTGTAATAGAGACATATTTTGAATAAAACTCAAGCAGTCCTAAGTCAAAATAGAGTTGCACTGTAACTCTATCAATTCCATTTGAATTTCTTCAGGAGCATCTTCGACAGAAACACTAAATGGACAAGCAAACAAATTCAGGCACTGCTCATTTTTCCGGAAATCGATGAAACGTGAGTCGAATTGTGTTTTCATATCTTCAAGCGCAGAAATATATTTGTCCATATTTGTTATCTGGCAAGATGACAAATGAGGAAAATGTGTGGTAACATTTTTTTTGAACTGATTAATCCACAGGTCCAGCTTTACTTGAAACGCTTTCAAGGAGTCAAATAACTCATGGATTAAATTTTCTTTTCCTTGAAGTTTCTTATTCAAATCATTTAAATGTGATGTAATATCTGTAAGAAAACCCAAATCACTTAGCCATGCTTCATTGGTAAAATGAGGAACAGCTTTATCTTTGCTTTCCATGAAAGCTGCAATTTCCTTCCTCAGATCAAATACCCGTTTTAACATTTTGCCTCTACTAAGCCAGCGAACATCACAAAAATAAATAACGTCACCATATTCAGCATTCGTTTCTTTTAAAAACTCTTGGAGATTTGATAAAATTAACTGTTTTCACCACAATACTCATAACATCATGAATATTGACAGTCTTTGCAAATAAATTTTGTTGATGAATGATGCAATGGTATTGGAGGAAGGAGATGCCAGGATTGTTTTTTCTTATTATTGCAATAAGTCCTTCATTTTTGCCAACCATAGCCGGTGCGCCGTCTGTGGATATCCCAGCCAAATTTGTTAACTTCAGATTATATCTATTTAAGACGGTATTAAACGCTTCATATAAATCACATCCTCTTGTGATGCCTTTCATTGGAACTAAGGCAGCCATTTCTTCAGTAACAGAAAAATTTCTGTCAATGCCGCGTATAAACACTGCTAACTGAGCGGTATCTGTTAGGTCTGTACTTTCATCAAGCGCAACGGAGTAGTAAACAAAATGCGACGATCTTTCAATTAATGTTTTTTCAATATCGCCTGCCAATTCTTCTACCCTCCTTGCAACTGTAACACCAGACAGACTTACTTTGGAAAAAAGTTGCTTTTGCGAGGGACATAACACGTCTGCTGCTGCCTCTATACATTCTTTTATGAATTCTCCATCAGTAAATGGTTTTGATTTATGTGCAATTTTCTCTGAAATTATGTAGCTTACTTTTACACTTGCTTCACTATCTTCGTTCTGTTTGTTAAACGAATGCTGCTGTCGTTGAAGTTGTTTTTTCAGAACCTCGACCTTATCAAGACGTAACTGTCCTTGAAAATATGCAAATTTACTTGAATGTTTGGAATCATAATGCCGTTTAATATTATATTCCTTCATCACAGAGACCGACTCATTGCATACAAGGCAAACCGGTTTTTCTCCAACACAAACAAACAAATATAAATTTGTCCATTTTTCTTGGAATGACCGGTGCTCATCTGTCACCTTGCGTTTTCTACTTGTACTTGCTGCCATCACACTCGTTTGATGTCGTCTTCGAACCACAAAGTCAATGAATCAAAAAACTTTTGTTACAGTAAAAAATTAAAAAACACACAGATACTTCAGTAGGAGCAGCGAATAATTATACAAAGGGTGTGTCGTTCACAAACACGGGCCGGCAAGACGACTGTCTCGAGATTGTCGAAACTTTTCCTCGCGGTGGACCGGGGAGCGTCATAACAGTACACGTGTGAGTTGTGTGCAGGTTCAGCGTTCGAATTATACCGACTGGAATAAATACTACACTCCAGTCGGGTCGGGTTTGTAAAAATGTCCAATTTATAATATGTGGTATTAACGTAATCCTTTTAACTGCCTTTTATTAAGAGATTAAAGGCAAAATTAGGTACAATCTAAGAAAAAATTAAGAAGTTTATCCTTTGCAACTGTTGTTTATTAAGGGATTAAAATTGAAACTACTTTTCTTAGAAAAAAATAAGAATATTTTCCTTTTAAACGTAGTCAGTCTATTAAGGGATTAAAGTAGAATGCAGGTAAGAGAAAATGAAGAATTTTTAACTGCAATTTAAAATAATTGATAAAAGAAAATCACGTTTGGTATTTTTGATTGTTGATTATTTTTAAATAGCTCAACTTGGACTGATATCCCCCAAGCTTTTGCTGGGCCGCCAAAAAAGCTTTAGCGGGCCGCAGGGGGCCCGCGGGCCGCGTGTTGAAGACCTATGGACTAAAGGTCAACGTGCACATCTTTACTTTGTCATTAAATCAATTACTATATACGCATTACGTAAAATATCTGCATCCTAAAATTTATAATTTGGTTTATGTAATACGAGGGATGCCTATAATTTCAAATCTAGAATATTATTAATTATTAAAATAAATATTTTTATTGGTTAAATACTCAAGTTTTTCTCATTTGAATTTTCATGTAGGTTCTTACTTAATGAGTTAAGGTAATTATGACGGTCATTTTGAGTTTTTTCCAGACCCGCATAGTTATTTACATACAGTATAAACTACTTAAAACCAAAAATGAACCATTATATAATTAACATCTTCTTAACAGACTTCAACAAAGGAGGAAGTTCTCAATTCGTCGATATATTTTTTAAGCGACTTCAAAGAAGGAGGAGGTTTTCAATTCGTCGTAATATTTTTTTTTATGTATGTTCAGCGATAATTCTTTAATGCGGTGTCCGATTTTGTTAGAAAGGTTAGAAAGGGGTGGTCTCATATTAATTTGGTCAAAACCTAATAATTGGGTCCATTATAAAATCCTCAAACTCTTCATTTTTAATGTATGTTTAGCGGTAATTCTTTACCACCTTGTCCAATTTCTATGATTCTTTGTTGTTAGTAAGGGGGTACCTCAGGGGTAGTCCCATAGAAATTTGGTCAAAATATAAAAATTGTGTTCATGAGAAAAATTCTTAAATTCTTCATTTTTTATGTATGTTTAGCGATAATTCTTTACCACCTTGTCCGATTTCTAGGACTATTTTTTTGACAGAAAGAGGATACTTCAGGGGTGGTCCCATATAAATGTAGTCAAAATTTAATAATTGGGTTCATGAGAAAATCTTTAAACTCTTCATTTTTTATGTATGTTTAGCGATAATAATTCTTTACCACCTCGTCCGATTTCTGTTATTTCTTTTTTTATAGTAAGGGGCTACCTCAGGGGTAGTCTCATATAAATTTGGTCAAAATCTAAAAATTGGGTCCAGGATAAAATCCTTAAACTCTTCATTTTTTATATATGTTTAGCGATAATTCTTTTCCACCTTGTCCGATTTCAATGACTATTTTTTTGGTTAGTAAGGGGGGTACCTCAGGGGTGGTCATATATAAATTTGGTTAAGGTGTAGTGATGGTTTTTTAAAATTACTTGTAATACTTGTTATATAGTCGGACATATTGAAAGTTTCTTTAAATACATAACGTTTGTTATAGACCATGTTAATTAAGTGAATACATGACTTTGTGGTTATAATTAGCAGCACAAATAATATATTAACAAAACACAGAAGTGCTTTCTTATTTGTTTTGAGTCGTCCCTATTGTATAGTAGTATATACGTATTATGTAAATAAGTGAAATAATGTTTTTTGCGCACTAGCATACCTGCAATGTATACGCAAAAACATGTAAGTAATACAAAATTTTTTGTACGATTTTGCCATGTAATTTGTAATCACAGATGGAAAAGTATTAAAGTATAATGATATTTGTGACCTCAATGTGATAATAAGTTTGAATTATTAGAACACCCTATATATAATAATGGTGTGCAAACTTTGACAAATTTAATGAGAAACAAAACGATTGGATGTTAACAAAAACTTATTAGTACCAACTGAAAATAATCAGATAATATAGGGTATAAAAAAATTTAACACAGGAATAATATTGTAAAATATCACTTTTTTTTGCTTACTTAGCGCTAAGCACACCTCCTACGCAATAAAACATTTTAAGCTGATAAACTTTGCGCCATAGGTGAGGCACGTGGTATCCTACATGGAAAAGAAGAACAGATCAAGAATTAATCGACGAGTTTTACATATATACAGGGCGAGTCTTGCTTCTCTTACACCCTCTGGTCATTGCTGATTCTTCTACATCCTCTAGTCATGGACTTTCTCTTCCTCTTATTCCTATGTAAGTAAAACGCACCTGAACAGATCAAGAATTAATCGACGAGTTTTACATATATACAGGGCGAGTCTTGCTTCTCTTACACGCTCTGGTCATTGCTGATTCTTCTACATCCTCTAGTCATGGACTTTCTCTTCCTCTTATTCCTATGTAAGTAAAACGCACCTTTCGAGACACTTTGGCATACTTTTCCATTGTTCTCTTCGTCCAGTACTTACCTGTTGTTCACTGTCTTCTCCTTTAGGTTACTTCTTCGGAAGGTATGACGTGGAAGGAGCTTATTTATAGTTTTTATTTAAAAAATTGGACACGGCAATGTTAATTTAAGAATGCCAGTACTCAAATATAGACTATTTTTACTTTAATTAACAATTAGAGTCGTGCAGAATTTTTAAAACGCATTCTTGATACATACTTAGGAAAATTTCTCTCTGTGTATATTTGAGCGAGAAGTCATTGTTATTTTTACGATGAAAGATATGCCTTCCTTGGATGCGTGGGTTTGAACACAAATAGATAGAATATGGGCAGTTTAGGAAAGGCTGTGTTTAACTTTAAGAATTTATTATGAAATTTAAAGAATACCATTTGCGAGTTATAATAAAACATTTAAAAGTATTGTTCTTTTGCGCACTCTCTAAATTTGTATATAAGTGTATACGTACCGGAATAAGTATAAAAAATACAAAGAAAAAAAAATAATTATAACTGTAGATCAATAATCGAACAGCTTTGAAACAAAATTCGATATAAAACTAAAATAACACAATATGATTTCAAATTAAAAAAAAGAAAGAATTATTAAAAACTACAGTATCAATTTTAAAAACGAAACCGAACAATGGCCTCTATTTTTTGCGTTGGCGAATTAAACCCAAAAAGAATGAAACATTTTACCTAATCTGTAAATTTGTTCCAATCTTTTAGAGACACCGTGTAGTTTCCTACACATTTTAAATACGTCTTTCTTTCCAATACTGTTTGTATTCTTTGATCAATATTGAATTTATTTATAAGAATTGACTAACGGGTCCATATTGTCGAACTTTAATAATTTATTCGAGATATGTTCATTTTAGTTTTAAAACTCGTCTCGTCACCGAAATACCTACAGCCAATTCTCAATCAGACCGAGACCAAAGCTCCTTCCGGTTTTCACGCAAAATGGCCCCAAATGGCGGACCTGACAGTCCTCGATGCGGTGGGAAGCACATGTTCCATGAATTATCAAACAGGCCGGATTTGCGATTCACCCGAAATTATGTTCCGTCCTATTAAATTTAACCCTCTCGAAATTCAGTCACGAAGATTTTGCGTTGCCGTCATTACATCGAAAAATTGTATGGAGATTGTTGTTGCCTGATGGTTATCATTAATTAAGATGAATGGTTTTCGGAAAAAGTCAAGACGGAATATATAATAGAAGCCCCTTTTTGTTTGGTATATTTATGGTGCTTCTTCAAGGGAAAACAATGTTTAGAACGTTTCTGGAATAATTTAATAATTTCTCCAATAGTTAAAGGGAATAAAATTAACAAAATGTATGTGGTGCTTAATGTATTGCAAAATAAAATACGCCATATAAAATGATGCCATAAAGCCAATTTTGGCGATGTAGTTTTTAATTAATATCAATTAGTTTTAGTATTTGAATCAATTCGAGATGTTTTATTGCCTGAATATAGTGTGATTTACTATAATTCTTGAACAATATGCTGCCTTTTTCCAAATCCTCAGGCAGAGCTGGACAGAGTACAGCATTAAAATACTTATGAGTACTTCAAAATTAGTAGCTTAACAAAGTACTCAAAAGTACCTGAGTGTGAGTCTTTCTATAAATAATACTCAAAGCAAATGACTACTTTTGCAAATTTTAGAGAGTACTCATGAAACAATCAAGTAGGTAATGAATATGAGTATTTTAAATAATTCTAATTAGTGACTCTAGTTTAGAAGGAAGGAATCATAATAATTAGTAAGTCAGTAAGTAACAAACAGGAACTAGAGTATATTCTATCAATTAGTTAACACCTTTACCATTAACGTGTTCTCCCAACTTTTTCATTTTAATGTTAAAAGTAAAATAATAAAGGTATTACGTAGGAGTAGAGGTACAGATAGAGAATAATCAAAAGAATAGTCATATTTTAAAACGTATATACCAGAATATATTGTCTTGACATATGTTCTGATGTTTTCCGTTCTGAATCGTTGGCTTAAATACGTTATTCAAAATTGTCTTACAGTTGTAAAGCCGATGGTAGTGGGATTGTAAAAATTATTGGAATTGTCAAATAGTTTTTGGGAAGATTTTCAAAGGAATTTAGAATTGTTAGTTGGGAAATTTACAA